AACTGATAGCAGCTCGTAACTTTAATGGACTCCTGGAGCCAAATTGGCATTAGAGCAGACCATGCACCGCAATGCCCCTCTTACCGGATGAGACCCCTACCAGGTACAGCAATGAAATGAAGACTAAGGGGAACGGCCTGGAGCCCACTAAACGAGATTCATGCTTTCACCGTTGGTTCGCTTTGGCATAGACTCATCGCTGCTGACGACATCAGTTCATCAGTGCAAACGCTTCGCTTGCATTTTTGCTAAGACGGCTAGAGTTTTACGGGTAGGGAGCAGCATTTGAGGTGGCCAGTTGATGAGCGGGTAGAGGGACGAGACAACAAAGTCGGGTAAGGCCCTGCTGGGCTCTCACAGATTCGCTCTTCACCCACAAGCGTATTTGCTCCCTTGAGGCCCAACATTCGTTCAAAAAGTGCACAATCGACCCGTCTCAACGTACAATTCGCCACCCGCTTCGAAATTTCCTTTGGCGGGTACACGACAATAGGCCAGGCGCGGCGAAAAAGCACAGACGCAGACGGGCAGGCGCACCAGCCACAGCGCGTAGCGATTTTACGCAAAGTTGAATAAAAAATAAGTAAATAAATTAATAAGTGGAATAGGTAGAATGCACTGTATGTAGCCCCACATCGCACAATACGTGCTGGGACTCGCACGCTGACCCGTCTGCGTCTCTGCCTTCTCCCCGCGCGACGGGCCTCTTGTCGGGTACCCGGCCTGCGGCTTCCAGCGCAACACTTGCTTTCAATACATTGCAGTGAGACCGTACAACGGATCAGTTTAATGCACTATTCTTAGCATTCCACGTGGCGGCTAACAGCGACACAGTAAAGAAGGTGAATGAGATCGAGCCAAAGCTGATTGACAATTGTGATGGTGTGAAAACAAATACTGGCTGCTTCGACTTGGTAAGCACTCCTTTAGTAAATCTGCAACTTGTTCTCAATCGCATTATTTCCTTTTTCAGAAAATCACTGATGTAATGACGGGATTCTGGCCATCGCCAGACGGTGCCCTACCTAAAGAAGAACCCGCATGCGGATTCCGTAACGAGCGTTGTGACTACACGTTGATCATTTGTGCCGGTGTCTTCTTGGTAGTGGTGCTTTCTTGTGTCGTCACTGCTCTCATCATGATACGAGTATGGTACGTATTTGCAGCACCTCAGATGCTCCTGTTTCTGGCCTCGTGCTCACCTCCACTCTCCGTAATGGCCCCCATTACCTTACAATTATGCGAGGAATTCATAAAGCGATGTTACATTAAAGAGAATTATTGTTTTTAGGACAAATTGCTGAGTGGTTTGAAAGCTTGAGCCGTACCACAAGTTATTGAGCTTGTGTATTTTAATCATTGTTTAAAAGCCCTAGGTGGGGGGAAGAGGCTGGAGGGTGTGTGAGCAAATTGTATTCCTGCGTTCCGGTAAAAATAATTAGCTCCTTCTGAAAATATTTCTGAAGAAATCTGAAAGCTTGAAACATAGTACCATTCCAAAACGGAGTGATGCATTTGCCTCGGTTTCCTTTAGGGCAACGAAGGTTTCCATGGCTTCAGTATAAGTTTCCTTTTGCTTCCTAAAAAGTTGTCTAGCCGTTCAATGATACATATTCCAGTAGAGATCCGGCGCGCTGGCGAAAATGCCGTTGGAGGAATTTATCGCGGATGATTTCGAGCAGTTATTTAACCGAGGACGAAGCTCGTTCCGATGGGTAAGCTAGCTGTTCTGCAGTTGTGTAAGGCATGTTCCGCTATTGGATCGTATTTGAAATTCACAAGCCCTCAATCTGAAGCAGGGTGAGGCGGAGTGAACTGCGATCGAGCTGGCAACCGGAATGCCTTGGAGTCACTCACATGTAGTCGACACTCAGAAGATGGGAACTGCAGGGTTTTTGCTGGCATGGAATAGTTTAGTGAGCTGCAAAGAAGAAGATATTCCAACGAGGATTCCTCTATCATGATGAGGCCATCATGGTGTAGGATCAGTTCCAATAGATCCACTTCACACATTTCAGAAGTTTTTAGTTCATCTAGTTAGTTATTCAACTTTCTGAAAACCCTAGCTCTCTACCCAAGGAGTGGGTCTCAGTTCATTTGCAGCAGGGCGAACACATATAACAGGGGGGCGAAAAAAGTCACTTCTCTCCACATCTCCCCGCGTTGCGGAACCAAACCAAATGAGCTCCAATTGAATATTAAAGAGCACGTCTATCAAAAAGCTTCATACAGCCTTCTACATCAGAAGATTTTCCCACGGAAACATGGTTCACGGTACGAGCTCAACGAGGTCGTCGAGGTACCATAGACCATTACGACGTCCCTGAAACGCTGGTCAAAAGCGGTCTTGCACAGTCACAGCTAGTGTCTCTAGAAGCTATTCACAGTTAATCCATTGAAGAAATTATGTAGCAGCTTCAGGCCGGAGCGATTACGGTAAGCCTCGTTGAGCTCGACGGTGACGGCAGATGACGTCATATTCTGAAGACGGTGGGGGCAGTGAAGGAGGGCCTGCTTCTGCTTACGGGGGGGACACCTAAGGAATATTCTGCCGTAAAACATTCATCAACAACGGCATCCTGTGCGACGAAAAATTTGATGATGTGCGCCATGGGCAAAGTGACTCTTTTTTTTGCCCCCCCCCCCCCCCTTTCATATAACCAGTTGAGAAAATGGTATTTATGTCTTATTTATCAGATGTTGCATAAGAGGTGCTCGTTTTGGCCATATTAGGAATTGAACATGAGTTATGAGTTGAGCGCAAAGCAATATTGCCGTAGCAAGGAATATTCTTCAGTCCATATATCGATTGTTACAGTTATCGCTTGGGTCGACGACGACAAAACTGTCGAATCAAACCTCGTTTGCGAAACATCACGCTATAGTCGGCACAAACACTCATGCCTTCATTTCACGTCTATCCACAACGACGTCCAATCACTTTCAGTCGGGTCGACATGCAGTTGTTGACATTGGTACTGTCACCTACCGTAATCTGCAGAAGATGCGCCCATGGTTTTGCTTTCAGATGAAACAATCGATCCACGACAATCTAAATCCTTTCCTTGGCATGTCTTTCAATGAAAAAGATGAAATGGTATTACTCTGGAAATACTGTACTCGTGGTACTGTACAGGTAGGATTTTCAAGTAGAAGTAGTTTAAAACTTTGCAGTTGAAAAAAGTCGGGAACTCTCCGCTGAAGGTATTGAGCTCCGAGCTTCATCTCTGCAGTTTTCCATTTTCTGTGTTTTCTCGAAATAGGGAAAGCCTGCCTGACAATTGCGGAGATCAATCAAGCCATTTTAGGACATCATCTACAACAAGGATGTGGTGCTGGACGCGAAGTTCCATGGCGCCTTCATCAGAGACATCACACTGGTATGAAGCAGATTTTTGACTGTCTGGCCCATAAATCACAATCCGTCCGGTTTTTTTCTTGCACTGTGCAACTTCACAAATGTTTTAACAAATCTACATAGTTTGTGATAATTTCTAGGGCGCTCTTGCCATTAGGGGAGACATTGATGTGAGTGAGCCACTTACAGAACTTGGGACTAAGCCTTAGAGAGGGGAAGGGATTCTGGAAAGAACATAAGTAACCTTTTGGCGTTTCTCAGCTTCTCTGACCTTAGTCCTGCTGTTACCTACCAGCTTCAAGCATAAACAGAGTGATTAAAGATACTTTTCGACGCTTTACTATGCCTTTTTTCAGCAGCAGCAGATTACTCATCACCCGTGATTTCATAAGTAACCCTAACAAAAACTAATTAAATACCTAATTAGATTGACAATTTGCGGCGATTTCAAGCCGTGGCAACCGTCGGCACGTCGCAACTTCTGAAAAGGGCTTGCGCGATATTGAATCATACCAGCAGATAGCTCTGCTCACGACAAATTCAATGATGTGTGGAACGTCCGAGTTCTCTCCTGTTCAGCTTCATTTTGAGGAATCTGCCTAGTTACCTGAGGTCAGCTCATTGGCGGACATCGCTCGTTGTAATTATAACCAGAGGGGAATAGGTAACAAAAATGAGGCTGATAAATGAGGGAGATCGGAATCTAAATACACCACGGAATTCGTCGTGAGCAGTGCTATCAGCTGGTATGATTTTTACTCGCGTAAGCCATTCCAAGAGTTAGACGTGCCAACGTTTGTGACGGCTTGGATGTGTCGCAGATCGTCGACTTAACAATAATTAGTTGCAGTTTTTGTTTGTTAAGTGCTGTTTTTGCCCGCAGTTCGCCTTGCGAATGTTTCAAAAATTAGTAGCAAAAATTAAAAAAAAATAGTAGCAGTATTGTAACATTCTCCAATTTGGCCCCTAATTTCCCATGTTCTTCAGTCTGTCTGAAAACTGCCACAAAGTAGTGTTGTTTCAGGGTTTGGAATATCTACACTCATCTACAATCGGCTTCCACGGGTCACTTACTCCATGGGCCTGTCTCATTGATCGAAATTGGATGGTTAAACTGACAGATTTTGGTAAGCCTCATAAATTGACATATGGCACATACATATATTCCAATGAAGTTGAGCACGTTTGAGCTACAGATGCATACAGCTGCTCCTGATTAAGATCAATGATCTTTTGTCCTTGATGATGAGTTTAAGCCCTTTAAAGGCGAGCCCTGGGATAAAAGTGTGCATAAGAGCGCTTCGTAGTGATACTGAGCTGCGGAACGACCTGAAAGTGGAAAGGAAAGCAAGAGAAATCTTTGGGAACGCTGTTAAGGCCTTAACCTTCAATAAGGTCGGATGTGGTACGATGGCGAGACAGGGCGATCAAAGAAGACAAAACACGCGAGAGATCACGTCGTTTGAGAGAGCACGCTGATCTCACATCTCGAGGTGGGTGGGAAGCGTTGCAACGGGGTCGATGGTTGCAGGCCCGTAAGGATTAGCGCCCTAACCGCGCAATTTTTGCGACGAAGCTGGAGTGATCTAGGTAGGTACGGACCTTACAATTTCCCTCGCGGTATCCTTCTCACAAGTCGGGCTAATCCTGGGTTTGCCACTAAGCACGTTGGCGAAGTCGCAAACGAGCTCATTAGGCAACTTCCGGCGATTATGATTCAGTCAGTAAATTTTTTAATTCGAGAATAATTCTTCGCACCTCAAATGAGGATAACTCAAGAGGTTCACGAATCCAACTTTGAATCTGCTATACGAGTTCTTTTTCTAGGAATCGCAGACTCATTGGAACGATGGGAGAAACAAGGTCTCATTGCCACAGAAACTTTGAAGGAAGGTGAAGATGAATGGAAAAGCGGCTCAGCACAGAAAACAAGTATGTCCTAAACTTTCTAGCCGTAGCCGCATTGTCGAGCCCGTGTCTGCCATCGCCAACTGTTCCTTTTTTAGCACTAAAATATAGTCACTTCCATCCATGTGCAAGGCGTGTGAAACGCGCAATTATTTATAAAATTCGCAACTATTATATCAGGCAACCCTGCAGAAATTTTGCTACTAGGACATGTGTTTAAACTAGTGCAGGAAGAGTTTTTGATTGCACTGCGCTCGTTCTTATACCAAGCCAAATGGAGAAATAATTAGGGCTGAGGTTTTGAGGAGGGGGGGGGGAGGGGTCAGGTCCACGCCCGGGGTTACCGACCCTTGTATAAATTTAACGTGGGGTTTGATAGTCAAACGCGTTGGTCAGGTCACGAACACAGCACAAATAACGCCTTTTCTGAGTTAACTCTATTACTCCTTTGAAAAAAGTTCCTTACATGAAGGACTCACCAAAATTGCAGTGATTTTTTCTGCTGCGCAAGGTGCGCATTGAGCAGTTTAACTACGAATTTTTCCATATTGGCCCACTAGAAAAACATGGAAGCTGCAGAGGAAACGAACACGGTTCAAAAAGTGGGGTGGTTAGGCCGGTGTCAGACTTTACGGAACCGTGGATTCGCTGGGAATCGCGGGATACGAGCGAATCACCAGCGCTTCGAAACAATGTGACCAGCGACGTGACAGTGTTTGGAAGTGACGAGAGGGTCTTTAGTTCACGCGCTCATTCTCGCCGGGGTACCCCCAGGAGGGCCCGTCGCGCGACAAGAAGGCGAGTCAGCGGACGAGTTGCGCGCGTACTGTAGGGATTTCGCGTCAAGTTGAATAGAATGTTCCATTGTACGTCCTACATCGCACATCACGCGCTGCGACTCGTCCGCGACTCTGCCTTCTTGCCGCGCGACGGGCCTCCTGGGGGGTACCCTTCTCGCCACTTTCCCGGGCTCCTCGTGCTCCCTCGTTCTCTCACTCCCTAGTGAGCCCGGGAAAGTGGCGATAGTCCAGGTGCGACCAAGAGAGGCTCCCGCGACTTTCAAACACTGTCGAGTCACTGTACCTCGTTCGATTCGCTGGCACATCATTCGAACCGCTGATGCATCGCTCGCTCGCGATTCGCTAGCAAATCCACGGATTTGCGTAGTCTGACACCGGCCTTACAAGCGCCGAAGCTAGGCCACCGTGGTGGGCTCAGTAATCTTCCTAAGCTTCTGGTGTGTATGCCGCTCGTGCCAAAATCCAGCGACTGCTCCGTCTCCTGCGGTGACAGCGTGACAGTGGCGTTTTTGAACTGAGACTTATACAATGATAATTGAACGCTACCTTCAGGCATACTGTACCAGCCACCTGAAGCACTGAGGAATCGTGAAGAGAACAGAATTCGACGAGCTGATCAGGTAATGCAATCGCAGCTTATCGTTTCAGGATTAGGGTTGTGCCTCTCGGGAATTTTAAGATAAGCCATTCATGCTGCGAAAACCTCCGTTTCTTCAGATGCCTAACTGTTTTTAGTTTGAGATAAGAATTTTACACCACCAAGCGCCAATTCACATCAAACAGTTCCGATGCCGTTTTCGGAACTACAAGGGACCCCACATAAAAAAGATACACTTATCAAATTATCACCTTAGATGAGCTAAAGATCCACTGTATTGGGCGTCACCCGATAGTAAATGAGAAATAATCCGAGGTCTCCTTGGCAGTGGATTAGGAAGGAGAGCATGTAGCACCGGCTAAGATACGACTCACAGTCAGGGCCAATCTTATGTTGCGCTCAAGCACGGGATCATAATTGGTATTAGTGATAGTCCAAAGGTCCAAAAGGGGGTGGAGTTAAGTTGAAGGAATCATAGTGGCGGGAAGGGAGAGAGTCGTGTCCAATGAAGTTTTTGACGATTTTGGTAAAAATTTCAAGTGGGGTGGTGAAGACCAAGCAGAAGATTTCATTCACTCACGTCCCTCCCTCCCTCTCCCTGCCTCCCGCTCGACGGTCATTCCGCAGAGAAAAGTGGGCGAAGTTAAGCTAGGTCTATGCTCCAAAACAACCATGATGGTGACGGTGGTTGTCGGGAATAGAGAGGAGGGTCGTATCGGGACTTCCTCTACGGCTGATGGTGATAGCAAGGGAACCGTATCGAGATCCTCCTCTGGGAGGGTCGTCAAACTTTTGGAGTTGGGACATCGAGATCCCCTCTGGGAGAGTCGCCAAAATTTCAGCAGTTGGGTCGACCGTGCTCACATTACGGTATGCGCTTCAGACTTTCATTCTTTTTGGAGTCTTACGGTTGCTTGTCACAGGACTTCGTAGGAAGATAAGAAGCCCCTGTGATGCTTTTCTGGCTGCAATTGAAGGTCACGCGCCAATGTCATGCTCCTTATTTCCGAGCTGTGCCTCTTCTGCTTTGTGAGCTTGGATGTTTACAAGCGCAGTCAGTGTTCTTTCTCTTTCTTCTGTCTCTCCGAGATAGCTGAATGCGTCCGAGCTGGGCGAGGTGCTTACAAAAGTTTTGATTATGTATAATTTATCCCTTTTTTGTTAATTTTGTAGTTGTAAAGAGGGGAACTGGGCATGTTAAGCGTAACGCTTCTTAGCAGGGCATGTCTCTGTACTAAGGAGGAACGCCTTTTTTGCTCGTCCTCATGGAGCGTAATAACTTCGTATAGCATACATACTCTGAGCCTCTGGTGAATCCCATGCGATTCCTCAAAAGCAGAATTTACGATGAAAAGTTAGCTCACTGGAAATAAGGGTAGAGGTGGTCAGTGGAGCAGGGATGAAGAAGAAACCATTCGAAACGGCCTGAATCCCGAAAAATAGACCTCCTTGCCCGTTGGATAGCGCATATGATGCGATCGGGCATGCGCTGCGCCCTCCTTTTAACACCAAGCTCAAGAGTGTGAGCCATTGTACATCGCCGGGATGAAATCTTTCGCTGGCAACTGCGCGTCGTTCTGCACCATAAGGAGGTCCGCCTGCCTCTCAACTATGCAATTTCCCCTTCTTTCACCTTCAGTCTTATCGTGAATTCCTCTTCAACACTGCCCAATGATTCAGCGTCACAAGCTTTCTTGCTATTGCTCTTTCTAGCTGTCTAGCACTAGTTCTTCAGCAGAGAGAGCGTTAGGCCGATGTCAGACTTTGCGAATCGCGCGATTCGCTAGCGTCCGCGGTCGCGTTGCGGTACCAGCCAATTGAGTGATTCACTGGCCGCGACGCGACCGCAGACGCTAGCGAATCGCGCGATTCGCAAAGTCTGACATCGGCCTTAGCGTGAAGGGGGCAGCATCGATGAGAGTCGCATCAATGCGGAAACCAAAAGGCACGGAAGGCGTCTCATTTCTCGGGTTCTAGTTCGTTTTCTGGTTTTCTTCCCCTCTGCGCATCACTGACCGTTTCATTTTATTACCATTTAATTTCCAATGGGCTGCTTTTTTTAATCGTAAAATCCATCTTAAAAAAACTTGATTGCAAACATCACTGTTCTCCCGTCGTCACTAATGTGCCTCCTGGTATCTTTGCGACTTATGAAATGAAGTCGATAATGTTCAGTCATGGATAAAACAGTCTCAAGCGAGGCGTCAAATGGGTGACATCTACGCATTTGGAATGGTGATGTATGAAATTCTGTTCCGGGCCTTACCGTTCCCGAGCACTGCTAACATTGACGGTGAGAATTAGTAGATAAACTGCGTTGTTCCAATCGATCAATATTATCAATGTTCTGTTCAGAGATTCTCGACTACATCCGCGATGGAAAGCGTTCTTACCGCCCGGCGATTCAGGACAAGACAGAAATCCATCCGGATCTCATCGCGCTGCTTCTCGACTGTTGGCACGAGAATCCCGAAATACGACCAGGAATCCGACGAGTTCGACTCAACACTGAGAGCTACTTGAAAGTGTAAGCGAATCTTGCATTTGTAATAGTTAATAGCTAATAAGGGCGGAAGTGGTGTAGTGGCAAGTGGCACGCTTACCACGCGAGCGGTCCGGGGATCAAATCCTGGGTCGTGAGTCGCCCGGGCCAACCAAGCCTTCCATCCCTCCGGGGTCGGTTAATTGGTACCAGACTTGTCTGGGAGGATAAAAACACTGACTTGTACATCGGCTGGCCCCCGCAAGTCATTGTATAGGCCACATCGCATTCAAAT